TGGCAGAGTCGTCTTATAGTGCACACTGAAGGCTTTTCATGCACATGCCCAAATAAAACAGCTCCTCGCCAGAAGGCTACGGGGACTAGCAGACATATCTAATAAACACAAGTGTCCTCATTGCTGTTATGCTTCACGGGCCCTGATTCTGCCTTTTGAAGTCTTGCCCCGTCTGCCTGTGATGCCACCCGTCAGGTGTCACGTATGAAATGGAGCACACTGTTTCAGTGAGTGGCACGACTCTCTCAGACACTGAAGCTTTCTTAAGCAACTCAAACACTGGTATAGTGCTCCTTCTGCACACCCTGGAGCGTTTGAAGAACTAGGACACACATGCTCATGGCAGCTGTGAGCTTTCCTGTGCTGTGCTCTGTACTCAAAAGCACAACTTGTATCCTGGCAGTAAACACTGCCAGCTGTTTCCTCTATGGCATGCTCACTTCCCTCATTTCTGAGCGACACGAGCGGCTGTCCCTTCTCCAGACACATGGCTTGTGACCCACCGCTCACAGTGCCGCGTGTGCTTCCTCTCCATTCGTCCACACTGCAGATAAAACAGGCACTCGGGCCTGAGACTTGAGAACAGCACCTGCTATAGCATCGCAGACATTCTGAAAGGACACAAGCCTGGGCCACCCACAGGTAGGTGCCAGGGAAGAATTTGGTGGCTTGGCTGGAGAGATGACTCTGAAGTTAAGAGCACCCACTGCTCTTGAAGAGGACCTCAGTTGGTTCTCTGCACCCATGGAGCAGCTCCCAGTGTGTAACTCCAGTTCCAGGGGACCTGATGCCCTTTTCTGGCCTTCGAGGGCACCAGGCATGTATATCGTATACATACATACACACACACACACAGGCATGTATATTGTACACACATACACACAGGCATGTATATCGTACACACATACACAGGCATGTATATCGTATACATACACACACACAGACATGTATATCGTATACACATACACACACACACACACAGGCATGTATATCGTATACACACACACACCCATGTACAGAACATAAAATAAAGAACTTGAAGGTAGCTGTGGTGTGGGGCTGCTGCCCTGATCCCACACAGGCATCACTATTTGACCTGGGAACACTTCTGCACATCAGTGAGGTACCCAGAGCAAGAGCTACGTGTGGCGGTTTGAGTAAGAATGGTTCCCATAGGCTCATATAGATGTGGCCTTGTTGGAGGTGTGCCACTGGGAGTGGACTTGGAGGTTTCAAAAGGCCATGCGGGCCCAGGCTCTCTCTTATTCTCTGTCTGTGGATCAGGATGTAGTTCTCAGCTATTTCCCCAGCACCATGTCTGCCACCATGCCCCCTGCTAGGATGATAATGACCTAAACCTCTGAAACTGTAAGCAAGCCCCCATTTAATGTTTTCCTTTATAAGAGGTGCTGTGGTCATGATGTCTCTTCACAGAACAGTGACTAAGACACCATGATGTCAGGCCATGAAGCCAATGTGACCCAAAGAGCCCTGAGAGTGCCAAAACGATGCCCTATGGCCCAGGTTCCTTTCTGAACATGACAGTTACTCAGAATGAGGCCACGCCTCCATCAGCCTGCAGCATCCAATCACACCACAATTCTGAAGCACATGTAAAACGGAAAGCTCCTCTGCCTTTCCCTCAGGAACAGAAGGCAAAAAACCAGATGACTAGAGGCAGGGCTCATCAATCAAGTAGTGCAGTATATTCCCAAGTCACTCCTGTCAGGTAATGACGCCATAGAGAGAATGGAGAGAGAAGGCGGCAGGTTCCGGGGCCAAGCAGCCAGCAGATCTTAGCAGGAAGCTAGAGCACGGGCAACCACTGTGCCCCTCAAAGGCTGTAGATTCCAACAACAGATGCCTGAGAGCCCTCAGTGTGCGGAGGAAAAGCAAACGGCAGGGCTCAGGCAGCTTCTCCTTAACGGTCCCTGTTCTTCCCTAGGTTCAGTCAAAGGGAATCCAGACAAAGGGATGCATACGAGCCCAGCACACTCTTGAAAGCCGCACCAACAGCGTTTTCGCGCTTGCTCAGCCTGCACTGCACCTACACATGCCGAGTCACTGCTGAGATCAGGTGACGAGCCGAGCAGAGGCAGCGGAACGCCAGGCTCCACGTGACCATGCGCCTCCAGATCCCAGAGCAGACCTTCCCACAGAGGGTGACCAAAGGTCTGCAGGACACAGTGCCCACCCCTCAGGCAAGGCCACACCATGGTGACACTGACCCTGGCCTGCTAGCAGACTACTGGTCCCATGCTTCTTTGTGGGGGCTTCCACTGAGGGAACACAGCCTCCTTGACTCTGGAAGTTGTTTTTCAAAGAACAAAGTGAAGCACACACTTGTAGATCAGCTCAAAACTCGTTACAGAGAAGACTCATCCATCTCTTGCCCTTCTGTAGGGTTAGGGGCTCTGTACATGCACTTCCTCATAGCTGGGAAGCAGGGCTGCTGATACAAGTGTAGAAGTCTCATACCGCCACCTGGTGGAAGACATGGGAAAGACCTCGTGTCCTTGGTCTAGATCAAAGGTTCTCAATCTGGGAGTTGAGATCCCTTCACTAGGATATTTACGATTCCTAACAGTAGCAAAATTACACTAAGGAAGTAACAATGAAAATAATGCTATGGTTGGGGGAGTACCACAACATGAGGAACTGTATTAAGGAGTCTTAGTGTTAGCAAGGTTGAGAACCTACCCTAGGCCAAGCCCTTTCTTGTCATCCTCTGCTAAGATCCGTGTGGGATCTTAACACAAGATGGAGGACAACATGGGGAAGGCGGACCGCAGAGGGGCTAGAAGGATAAGCAGCAGAAGGAAGATGGTGGATCTTAATTTACAGACACCAAAATATGCAAGGCAAGAAGCTCAATGAGACAGCCAGTCCTGCCCAGTGTGACCTGTCCCAAAAAACAGACAAACAGGAAAGAAAGGCCTAGGCACTGGAGTGATGGCTTAGCAGTTATGAGCACTGGCTACTCTTCCCAGGTTCAATTCCCAGTACCCACATGGCAGCTCACAACTGTCTGTAACTCTGTCATATAGCCTATCTGCAGGCAGAACAACAACACAAATAAATTGTTTTTGTTTTTTTCATTTTTCAAGACAGGGTTTCTCAGTATTGTTTTGGAGGCTGTCCTGGAACTTACTCTGTAGACCAGGCTGGCCTCCAACTCACAGAGATCCACCTGCCTCTGTCTCCTGAGTGCTGGGATTAAAGGTGTGTGCCACCAATGCCAGCTACACAAATAAAATTTAAAGACACAAAGTGTCTCATCTTAATACATTTAGGAACTCCCTACGCATTAAGTTACCAAAGCAGTGAGTTGCCTTTAGTATCATATACATGGAACAGCAGCGAGTCGCCTTCTAGTACAATATACACGGAACAGCTGAACAATGGGCTCAGAGCAGCCCAACATAGCGAGGCAGGCTTTCGTCCGGGGCAGGTGCTTCCTCAGAGCCCCATGTCTACACTATTTGTTCCCTGTGCTCTCTTCTGCTTACTGCAGGAGGCAGGTGGGCTCTGCCCCTGTCTGGGAAGTCACTGGCTGAGAAGAATGTGCTGCTGAGGGCGTGGGGCACAGGGAGGTGTCAAAGGCCTTCAGAAGGAAAGAAGAGAAAACACATGACAGAGAGGCTGTACCTTAGCACTGGAGAGAACAAAGCAAGCATTAGGCACCTGTGGAGGCCACTGGTCTTAACTGGACTCTGCCCAGAGCAGTGTCTCCTATACAGGGCTGCCCAGAGCTGCAGGAGCCTGGACAGCTGGATGGGCTAGTCTGGGTCCAAGCTGAACAGGACATAAATAACTCAGTGAGCACACTCAGGTCTTGAAGTGAAGTGAAACCTCAAAGCCAGGAGTCATGTGATCCAATAAACAATTGGACATGGGGGGCGGTATGGGTGTGCAGCCCAGTGGCAAAGCACATGTCTTTCAATCTCAACACCAAAAACAGAACAGGACTAGAGACTGCTCTTTCAAAGGACGCGGGTTCAATTCCCAGCACCCACATGGCAGCTCAGGGGATCTGGCACACTCACACAGACATACATGCAGGTAAAATCCCAATGTACATAAAAAGATAAATAAATCTTTAAAAATGAACAAACACAAAATAAGCCCCCAAAGTGAAATAACTTGATGTAAATGATCAAGTCTATGAAATGATTTGCAGCTAGTATATTATTTTTCACATATTCTAAAATGAATCCACAATTTTCTAACAAAAACAAAGCAAAATGCTCAGTGATGAATCCCTGGAATGAAGTCGGGTAAGCAATTTCATGTGCTCCAAGAGCACTGTTCCTCCACCTGGTAGGCCAGGCCACAAACTGGGCAGACCAGAAACACTGGTCACTCTCTGCAACATAGATGGAAAAGCAAAACTGCCTGGAGTTGAAACAGTAGAGTTCTGGGACACCAGGCAATGCTCCAGTCCCACAGTGTGCTGCAGTAACGGGAAGGATGCCACACACTGCCACCACTACCTGTGGAGCAGTGCCCTTGACCCTGCCCAGACTCAAGTATTCCCTCTCGAGACAAGGTTTTCTATTGGATTTGGTTTTGAAACGTCAAGATCTTGGACCAGGTGGTGGTAGCACACACCTTATTCCCAGCACTCAGGAGGCAGAGGCAGGCAGATCTCAGAGTTCAAGGCCAGCCTGGTCTACAGAGTGAGTTCCAAGACAGCCAGGACAACACAGAGAAACCCTGTCTTGAAAAACAAAACATTTAAAAAACGGCGAATACTACAATCACAATGGACATCAGAAGTGACGCAGGGCTGCTGCCCCAGGTCTCCCTGTGCAGCTCTCTCCATCTCTGTAACCTGCTTCCCACCAAACCATCCCTGATGCCCCACCAGAGGGAGTCCCTAAACCCCACCGATTCTGTCCCCCAGAAGCTGGTGCTAGGGAGCCAGAACCTATCCCCGTTCTCAGCAGGACAAATGCCAGTGCAGTGGGAGGGGCACAAAGGAGCACAAGGGAACTTGCCTTTTCCATCTGTGGCTGAGGCTTCTTGTAAATGTCTGATTGACCTAAAAATAACCATTTGGAGAGCAGAGGTTAGTAGAGGAGCCTGCATTCTCTTCTATTTCTGGCGCTAGTAGCTTGGGACCTGAACCCCCATTGTAAACTCAAAGGGTTGGACCAGATGACTGTACAGCACCCTTCCTAAAGCCAGTCCACAATTGACCATTTATGGTGCTCAAGCTGAGGTGAAGATGCCCTCTGCTGGCAGAATCAGGGCCAGCAGGAAGGGCAGTGGAAACACCATCACTTAACTCCACAGCCCGGCCAGGGAGGAATGACCCAAGAGAAAGCAGCTGCTGACTCCTAAATTGAGGTCCAACAGCTGTGCGAGTCTAGGGCTTTATGTAAACTCACTGCACTTGGAGAGAGTTACAGCTCTGGGAAAGTCTCGGGCAGCCTTTTTCTGGCTGTGCTGCGATGACAACTATGCTCTAGGCAGGGGACACTAACATTAGAGATGCCATGCAGTCAGGCACTGTGGTGCACACCTGCAATCCCAACACATGGGAGGCTGACACAGGAGCCCTGCTGACAGTTCAAGACCACTGTGACCTACAGTGAGCAACAGGCTAGCCAGGGCTACACAGTGAAAGAACACGACAGGAAAAGAGAACGGCGTGGAGCTGCGGGCAGAGCTCGCCGCAGGCGCAGCTCGCAGCCACAGGGGAGAGCCTGAATTGACAGACAGACAAGGAAGCACAAGGGAAGTGGGCCAGGGATCCCAGGCAGGGTTCCTGTTCTAATGCTGACCCTCTTACCTACGTACAAATCACTTCTAAAACCTCAGGAAAGAACCTGCAACTTCATGAGAAACAGAACACGAGAATGCTACCAGTATAAAGGCAGTTTATGCCGCTGCTGAACCAAGGCTGGCTGAATCAAGTGTTTCAGAAGTTTATAGTGCTACTTATTTGTAATTAAATCTTTGGTATTGCTTTTCTCCTTCCCCCATGTGGGTTCTAAGGATCAAACTCAGGTCAATAGGCTTGGCCGCTACTGAACCATCTCACTGGCCCACTGCTGCTGTTTCTTCTAGATTTATTGGAATCTCATCCCCTGCAGCGATTTTCAGGATCTGCACTGTAAGGAATATTGCCACTGGGCACCTTCTCAGTGTTGTGATCAAGTGACAAGAAATGAGCACTGGTGGCTTGGTGACTCTATGCTTGCAGTGGTTTGAAATGAGAATGCTCTCCCCACCCTACTCCATAGACTCATACACTTAAATACTTCCTCCCCAGTTGGTGGAACTGTTTGGGAAGGATAGGAGGTGTGGTCTTGTTGGAGGGGGTGTGTCACCGGAGGGAGGCTTTTGAGGTTGGGTTAGCACTTTCTGCTTCAAGATGTGAGGTCTCAACTACTATTTCTATGCCATGCCTGCCTGCCTGCTGCCATACTCCCTGCTACAATGGCTATGGACTCTAACCCTCTGAAGCCATAAGCCCCAAATAAATTCTCTCTTCTCTAAGTTGCCTTAAAATGAACAGAAAAGTAACTAAGACAATGCTCATCTGGGACCTTTGTACTTCAATGTTCCAAAGACAGACTAAGAATAGGACCTATAGGCTGGAGAGATGGTTCAGCCATTAAAGGCTAGGCTCACAACCAAAAATATAAGAATAGGACCTAACTCCTGCTTCTCAGCAAGGTCCACTACCTGAGGACAGTAATGGGCAGGATGGCAGGGCAACTGAGGAGACGGCACGGTAATGGCCTCACCCCCATCTCTCTCTTAGAGACAGTATCTCATACAGCCCAGGCTGCCCTCAAACGTGTTAATGTAGCAGAGGATGATCTGAAACTTAGGATCCTTCTGCCTCTCTGCCTCCATGCTGAGATTCCAGATGCACCACACTGCCATGTTATGTGGTGCTGGTGAAGGAACTCATGGCTTCAAGTTTGCCAGGCAAGCGCCGCGCCACATCCCAGCCCTCCTAGTTCCCCTCTGTACTGGCAGCAGCTGGCTGACACAATACTTGTGTTCTACAAAGACCAGGGGGAGGGCGACTCTAACTGGAACTGTGTTCTTAGACAGTACACCGGCAGGCAACCGTAGGGTTCTGGAGAGCACTGACTTACGGCAATGGGTGCTGCCAGAGAACGCACCTCACTCCCTCAACATTAACCCAGCATGAACTGTGTTGGGGAAGCCATGAACCAGACACTAAGGATGAGGGGAGCTGTGTTGTCTGTCATCAGCCTGTTCTTTCCACCTGATGGCACTAACGTGGCAACCTGCACCTCTCTGCTGGGTTTCACAAAGATTCTTCCTCACAGAGCACAGCAATGATGCCCCTTTTCACACAACTGAAGCCCAAGCCTGAAGCCTGCTATTTCTGGATCAGAGCAAGCCACTCTCCAGAGCCCTCAAACCTGGGTGGCCTGAGAACTACCACTAGTTTTATGTCAAAGTATATTCTCATTTTCCATCTAAACTGGCAAGAAAAACGATTCTCCTACTTAGCCCTTACCAAATTCAGGCTGACATTTTACCCTGCCTCCCTTCTCGAGGGGGTTAGAACTGGGCCCTATAGCCCATGGTTTGGACTAGTTCTCCTTGAGTCCCGAGTGTACTCTCAGTAAGTAAAGCCTGGGTGGGGTATGATGAGGCCCCAGAATCCCACCCCTCGCTGTTTTGGGGGCAGCCTGGGGTCTTCTTCAGACCCGTGTGACTCTGGGTGCACGCGCTGCTCTCCTCAGGGTACTTACCACACCACTGGGAAGAGGATAGCACCACAGCACAGCAGGTCAACCAGGAACAGAGAGTCCTTCCACAGGCCGTATTCTGTCGTGCCCTCCTCTGTGGACTCTATGATGATGTAGGCCACGTTTGCCAGCACCTGCACAACACGAGACCCCAAGGCATTAAGTGCTGTTACGACAGTGGCCCAAGGGGGACACTCACCCATGCTGTCAGCCTCTGCCTGTGGCTGCAGTGACATTGCCACCCAGAAGCCCAAGCCTTCTCATCCAGGAGTCTGACTCCCTTAAACTGCCACAGTAGAAAAACCGAGAAGAGAGGCCCAAGGGGCCTCAGCTGTTTCTCCTCTGGCCCATCAGGTCTTCCCAGCCCAGGACACAGACTCGTGAAGACTGCATTACTCCAGACTGCAGCCACCATCAAACTGCCACCAGGCCTCAGGTTAGGCCTACCCAATTAAGATGGCTTCAAATCCCTGGCCCATAGAAAAGGAGATTTACTACTTGGCGTTGCCTCAAATCACTGAGTTTGGGGTGGTATATAGCAGTGGGTGATGGAAACACTTTGTTTTGGGGGCACTTAAAGCCTCAGTCAGTCCCAAAAGCTTCTGGGTAGGTGGCACTTCCCATCCCACCTAGCCAGGACGCCAGCACTCCTCAGACCCAGCTCTTCCTGAGAACTCTTGGTCCTCAGGGACAACAATTCTAAGAGGCTGATACAGAGACCGGAGGTCACATCAGCAAGAAGCGCAGGTTTCAGTGACTGCCCCACTCCTCACAGGGGCTAGCCCCAGGTCCCCTACACTGCACAGGACACATCCGCCTCCACGGCTTGCTTCTATTTCCACAATCAGGGCTTTGCCTTGTGCTTTTACCCTGCCTCTGGGCTTAACTGAGGGAAGTTTCTGATGTATGACACTTTCTTTAGAGAGCACATGAGCTGCGATGCAAAGATAAAGATGAGGCATGTTGAGGCTGGAGAGAGCACAGCAGTTAAGAGTGCTTGCTGGGTAACCACAAAGACCAGAGGCTGGATCCCAGCATCCATTTAACAAGTCGGGGTCCTGAACACACTAGATATAACCCCAGCTCAGAGAGGGGTGGAGACAGGACACTTGTTGGGCTTACTGGCTAGTCTAGTTTACAAATGCAAACCCCAATTCACACACTGCATGAAAGAGACTGCTCCCAGAGGCAGTGCTGAGCCACGCCCTACAGTGTAACTCTCTCCTGCTTTCAGGTAAGTGTTAGGGTGGAGCAGGCACATTGTTTGCCTTGCCTAGTTAGGGTTCTGGGTTCCATGCCAAGCACCACAAGAAAAAAAAGGGAAAAAAAAAAAAGAAAAACTTTCTGGTACTCCCCACGGCAAAAGAAGCTGCTTAGACCTTGGTCAAGACCTTCCCAGACCAGACCCATTGTCTAAACAATAACTTCCTTAGTTTCCTTGGGTGACGTTCAATATGGGTGACCTTTGAGGAGTTAGCAGGTGAGAGTTTCTTCATCACACCCCAGCTCAGGCCAGGGGAGGAGTCAACAGACAGCACAGCCTGAATCTGCCAGAAGGACATGGAGGGCAATTCCCAAAGAGCAAGGAGAACTCAGATTTTGTCAGGTAAACACTCATAAAACCATGGCAGGGTATGGAACTCCATCTGCCTAGAGCTGGCCCTGGTGGTTTGGTCACCAGAAGACCTTAGCTTGGTTGGTTTGCCTGACAAGTGTCACAGGTATCTGTAGCTACTCCTTTGCCTGTCACATTCCTTTTCTTACACATCCAAGTTTCCTCTCCATTGAAAGGCCCTTCTAGATCATTCTGAAAGACTACTTTCTCTCTGAAAACCTACAGCAACTGGTTTGTGTCACAAGTCTGGTGCTAACCCACATCCTTCCCTGCTGAAGGCTGCTAAACAGCCAGTCAATACCCAGAGATAACACGGCCCAGGAAATTTCCCCATTCCTTCCTCTCCTGCCAGCCAAACCCATGCAATGGTTTTAAACAGGAGGAGCAGACCTCACTAAAAGCATGGCCGCGGCTGGGAAGCTGGGGAGAGGTACCTAGCTGTGGTGTCCTCGGCTCGTCTCTGCTTCCTTGCATGGATTGCCCGTGTAAGACAAACCATGGGTCCTCCCTGAGGAGCTATGCACTTGTTGGTCAGGTCTCAGACCACGGCCTGCAAGCACAGGCTGAGTTTTAAAATGTCAGTCCCATGGGGCCACTCTCCTATTCCACCTTGCAGGACAACTCACTGAAGCTACTCAGCTCTAAAGTACTGCAGGGCACCTGGGCCTCCTCGTGAACAGAGCCATTTTGCTAGCGGCAGCTGAAGCAGAAGGCACGGCAGCACTTGTCCCTCGCTTCTCTACAGCTCTCTAACCAAATCCAGGATGTCCTGTCTGAAGCCTCCGGGACGTCCAGACACTCCTGTCTGTCAGCACTCACAGAGGGAGCCCCTATCTGCAGTTCACGACATAGAAGCTCAGGTGTCTAAGTGAGCTGCCACCTGCAGACAGGCCTGGAGCTGAGCCCTGCCCAGAGCCGGGAGGACTGACAAGCCAGCCGCAGTTCCCGTACCTGGAGTGGGATGACGATCATGAAGATCTTCTTGTCTTTATCAGACAAGATGTGCTTGATGAAGGCCCAGCCAGTGCCAATGAGAGCGATGGTGATGAACAGCAGCGCCCCCTTTAGGCTGGAAGACAGAACATTCCATAGATACCACAAGCTCTCCAGACTCTAGTCCTGTCAGTCACCCTATCAACTCTTCCATGATTCCACATCCCCACCCCACTTCTTCTTCCTTTTCTCTTTAAGATGTATTTATTTATGTATATGAGTGCTCTCTTTGTATGTATGTATGCCTATATGACAGAAGAGGGCACTGGATCACAGTACAGATCCAGTCACCATGTGGGTATCGGGAACTGAACTCACGACCTCTGCAAGAGCAGCCAGTGCTCTTAGCCACTGAGCCATCTCTCTAGCCCCCCATTTCTTTTTATTCTTTTTTTTCTTCACATAACCCAAGCTAACTCAAACTTTAACTAAAAAACCTCTTGCCTCTGACTCTACCTCCTGAGTGCTAGGATCATGGGCGTGTACTGCAATGCCTGGTTTTTGCTGGGGATGGAGTCCAGGGAGCCATGCATGCTTGGTAAGCACTCTACCAACCGAGTCACATCCCCAGCTCTAGCCCATAAGTATCTGTAAGGCACTTCATGGTGCAGGCACTACCACCACTGTCTCTTGGACCAGCATACTTACAGGTGAGTTATGTAGTATACGACAGCCCAGCCTTCAATCGGAAAGCCCTGCGAGGAGATATAGTGGTAGTCGATCTGAAATCAAACAGCTGTGATTCAGAAAGGTCATGTCGCATCCTGGTGCAGAGTAAAGCAATAAATGACTCCAGGAGACCCTGGGATGGGGAATGGGTTCTGCCCAGCCACCCCACTGTCTAGCATCTCCATTACCAAGTCACCAGCAAGTACACAAGTGTGCTAACAGATTTAAATGAGACAGGTTGACAGAGGCCTCAAGGACCCTAACAGCCAGCCCAGGTCACTCTCTGGATTCACACTGGTAAATGCTCTCACTCCCCAGCCATGCATGCTGTCTTGAAGTCCTGCTGCTCACAGTTAACAGCAGCCAGACAGTCAGTAAAAAGACAAATGTATAGGGACTGGGCTTCAACAACCTCCAGGTTCAGTTAGATACTTGGGATTGCCAAACATTTTAACTTAAGAGGCAGATTCCTGTAAGGACTGGGAAAGCTGACCACGGCACACAGCCTTCGTTTTCTAAATGGCATCATGATTTTAAAGTGGCTCAGATAAATCCAAAGGGGTAACTATCCAAGTACCCTCCATGTGTGCTGTTGTAAGTGTGTGTATTCTTGCTTTCTTCTGCGACTCCACTTCAAGTGTAGGAGGAGAACTAGCCACATGCACTTTATGCATCTCAGACCCCGAAATCAGGGAAGCTGTGATCTTGGCCCCACAGACAAGCTCATTTTGATGTGCAATGGTTCTCAGTAGTCAAAGCTCAGTTCTTGGGCTCCTGAACTTTGTAAGATTTGGTTTTTCTCCTCTAGTATGTTTACTAATACTGAACTTCACTGGCAGGCATACAGGGATGCTTAGTAAAATGAGGCAAATCCAGGAAAGACCGGCAGGGGGCACACTCATCTCCAGATGACAGAAACAAGGGTGAAGTGTGTTCGATGTGCACAGAGACTCACATCTAGGCCGGGCGTTGGTGGTGCACGCCTTTAATCCCAGCACTCGGGAGGCAGAGGCAGGCGGATCTCTGTGAGTTCGAGGCCAGGCTGGACCGACAGCCTCCAAAACAATACAGAGAAACCCTGTCTTGTAAAAAAAACAAAAACAAAAAAACAAAACAAAACAACAAAAAAAAAAAAAACAAAGAAGTACAGGAGGCTAGGTTCACTGGTCCCATGGCCAGTTCTCCACACAAGGGGCTTTATGAGAAACACATTCTATCCCCTCGCTCCCACCTGTGTCCTGCCTTATTTTCCCAATCAAGTAAGCACATCCATCATTTCATAAATGACCCCAAATGCTAATACATACTGCATGGAACACCAAAGACAGAGACTTGGTGAAAGGAAGGGCCGCCATCAACCAGTGAATTTTAAACACATCATTCCTATAAAAAGAGAGAAGAAATAATTAAGACTTCACTTCCCCAAAGGCAGCCTCAGTATCAGGTACATTTTTTTGTTGTTGTTGTTGTTTTTTGAAACAGGACCTTCCCACATAGCCCTGGCTGTCCTGGAACTCACTATGTGGACCAGGCTGACCTTGAACTCACAGAGATCTGCCTGCCTCTGGAGTGCTGGGACCAACGGTATACGCCACCATGCCTAGCTTCATCAGATATATTTCTAAGCAAGCACCAAGTACAATCTGAGCAAACCACAAACATGAAGCCGTTTTCTTTTCTTTTTACAAAGCTCAGGTGAGCCTGTGGTGGTGTGAATGAGAACGGTCCCCATAGGCTCACACAGTTGAACACTTGGTCCCCAGTTGGGAGAACTGTTTGGGATGGATTAGGGGCGTGTGTGGCCTTGTTGGAGTTAGCTCTCTGCCTTTTACTTGTGGATCAACATGTGCCTGCCTGCTGCCATGCTCCCAGCATGATGGTCATGGACTCACCTTGGTCATGGTGTCTTATCACAGGGACAGAAAAGTAACTAAGGCACAGTCCCACAGCATTTCCAATACACAATTTCACGCAGTGACTGGGGGTTATGCACTGCAGACAGGCAGGGTGGCTGCTGGGGTGTGCTAGGATGGACATCTAACAAAGCCCACCAGTTTGCTCCCTGGAAACCACACTGAGTGAGTCACACAGCCATGAGGGAGGGCAGTCCTAGAGATAGTGTGAAACCCCAAGGAAGACAGAAAGCGAGGTGTCTGAGCCCACGGAGGTCTGGGACCAGCCATGGTGACAAGTGAGGAGAAAGTGCTGGCACCAGCCCTGTGGATAACATTCCTACCCTGGTCTCCCCTCACAGGCCCAAGGCCACCCTCGGGCTCCAGGCATCAGACACTTCCTTCCCTGTCTCCCCTACTCCTGTAGGAAGGGACTCGAGGCTAGATGAAGGAAAAAAACTCTTAAAGTACACAAAGACTTGAACGAGAGCCAAGGACATGTGTACACTCTCACACACCAAAACACTGGCAATCTCACACCGGTAAGTGCACGGAAGAGGAGCAGGATATTTGCTACCGAGAGGGGTAAACCAGTGGAACAGGCAAGAGAGAGCTTGATGGAAGAGAAAGTGAGTCCAACTTGATGGGAAAGAACAGAATGCTAAGTGATTGTGGTGGCAAAAAATTATATGCAACCTACACGTAAAGAAAGTAAAGCTGGCCTCATTGCCCACTTACCTAGAGGGGTTCTAGAACAGCTCAGCTGTGAATGAAACACACCTTGTGACCCAAAGTCACAGAGGGCCTCTTGGACCCAAGAAGTACTGCCCTAAGACAAAATTAGATGGTGGGTCTCCATCACAATCAACACAACACACACTGCTGACAAGCCGTGTGACTGCAGTGACTGAGACAACCAGCATGCGGAGCCAGGTGAGGGATCAATCTAGAACACAAGAGTCTTGTTCATGCAAAGCAGCTAGACAATGAGAAAGTCCAACAGGAAATATGCAAACAATGCAGACCTGCAACGATAGGGCCTAGTAAGGACATTCAGAGACATGGGGAGTAAGACCCATAAGTTTACACACACCAGACTGGCACATGTCAAGAGGTCACTTGTGCTAAATGGATGGTGATAGGGCTCAGGCTCCCCTGGCAAAAGTGGAAATGGTGTAGCTACAAGGAGGACAATTCAACAGTGAAACTCAGCCCGAGTAGGCCACAACCCTGTGGGCCTCTGCTCGGGACTGCTCCTCAGAGGACAAGTCCCTAGGAGATCTCAGAAAGTAGGAGACCAGGATACACCAGCACTGTCTAGGGCAGCAAGGAGATAGTGGCAACCTGGATGGAGACCTGCCTCTAAGAACTACAGAGGTAACACTTGACAATACAGCTTATAGGACACTGTGGTGTGGCTAGATTCAGCCATCTTGGATGCAGTCATCAGTACAGCTGATGGAAAAGGTGGATTTAAATAGCTGCATCTGCAGACAACAAACACTTTCTGTACATTTAAAACATACAGAAAACTCCCCCAAAACCCCAACCAAACAAACAAATAAAAAAAAAAAAACAGCATACCACAGACATTACTTACAAGAACCAAAAATGTCCCAAACTGTATATTCAGCATATTGGGGTGACTTTCCATTGCTGGAGAAAAGTGGACAAGGGACAGGAAGTAAGGGGGGGATGGTCACTTGGGAGAGGAGTGTGCACAGAGCGATGAGATCACAACACAGGCTGACACACACTGGCCTTCTGGGCTGTTTCCTGGGTACTTTCCTGTTCTAGTGACTACTTACTTGAAGGTCAAAAGGAAGTCACGGCCAGAGCAGTCTGTCCCTATTGAATGGCAGTGGGCTTTACTCAGAGTGCAGTACTACCTCCTACGAAAGGTCACTCTCACTCACATGCTGGCAAGTTTGACTTGTGCTTCTCAGTTAAGCACCCATGCTGGAGCAATGAAAGGCTCTGAAACCATGGCAACCTGGGCTCTGCACTGATTCGGCTCTGATGACCTTCATCTCTGAAATATCACAACTACACTTTGACAAGGCCAGGGTGGCAGCCAACTTATAAGCACTGAAAATCATCAGCTGCTTCTCATTCTGCCAGCCCAGCCCTCCTCCCTGACACTGCAGGGTGCACAGCATACTAACCCTGAAAGGAGAGGCAGGCATCCCTGGCCTCCGGCCCCAGATCAGTCAGGTAACTGGCTATCTCTCACTTCCACTCTCTGGGCCTCAGTACATTTATGTGTCAAAGATGTCTCACTCTTTCCAGTTCTGTGAGAGTAACAAGTGTCCTAAACACTCCTGGCAGCCTTAGGGATCATATGACTATGTGAAACACAAACTTCCAACCCATGGACATTCACAGGCTATCACATGGGGGTGGCTTAAATTGCATCTTTATGGATGCATACACATCCACACAAAGCTAAAAGTGTGACTGGCACAAAACAGGTCAGCCCCACTTAGCCACAGATCTAAAACTGTAGCCACCATTTTATCCAAGTGAGCTGAGACAACGGCATGGCCATTGCTGAGTAAAGGGAAATCAAACACCAGGCAACACGAGCACCTCACTTGCACAGCACCCTGACGCTACCCTCTTTATCAGGTACAAAGACAGAGCTACGGATGTGAAGAGGCTCTGCAGAAAGAAGGGCAATTATTACTGCCCCAGTTTTGTAGATGAGGAAAGAGACACGGTGGAGAGGCAGATAGGAAGTCACAGGCAAGTGTGTGTTTGGGGCAGAGCCACCGTGCATATGTACAGATCCGAGGACAACTTGCAGGAGTCAGTTTTCTCTTTCTACCACAGGGAACCAGGGGATTGAACTCAATCATCATTAGGCTTGGTAGCAAGTGCTTCTACTCATTTAAGCCAGCAGATTCTTTTAAAAGGGTACACATCCAAGACTGAGTGTCTACTAAAAGGAATCAAGCCACCAGGGGTTTCAGTGTCTGCCTCAAGGAAGGGGTGTCTAGGGCATAACTATGTGAGTTTTGGGAAGCACGGTGTATCAGATTTGCACACCCTAAGTCTATGGGCCTTTTAATGTGAAAACACTTTATACTATTTTGTTCCAAGATTTCTGGGCAGGGAGACATGGAAGTCATACTCATGTAGCCAATCCCCTCCACAACAAACAATAGAAAGCCACCGCCTCAGGGTTTGGGACAAGGGTCCCGGTGAAAGGCAGAAGAACTCTAAAGGGGTTTTTCCCAGACTCAAGCTCCTGGCAGACACAGAGAAAGTCCAGGGAGGCTTTGAGCTGAAGCCGGCAGAGCTGGAGGCTTTCAGCCTTCACTTGGGCAGTGGCACCCTCACTAACTCTTCTCAAGATGGATGGCCTCTGAAAGGCACCATCCTGGTACCACACTCACTGTGTGAAGCTTCCTGGACTACAGCGTCTGTGCAAGTGCAACACTGCATTGTGTTTGCTTGTGTGTTTATGCAAACAGTTGGATCTACTCTCTAAACAGAACACTTAGAGTGGCCAGCAGCACAGTAGGTAGAGCCTCCCACTAGCCTCTAGGCCTTGAGTAAGACACCCTGAAGCTGGCAGGGCTGTTCAGTGCCATCTCCCCTAGGGGCAGAAACCAGCAGGATGAAGCATGCAGGTCTCCACACACTGAGAGCACTTACCTTCGCTTACGAAGGATATGAATCCAGATGGTCCCAGAAAGGAAGAAGAAGGCGGCCATGGAAACGTACAACTTGGGGAGAGGGATCTCCCCAGCAGAGAGGTAGCTGTCAGGGTTCTTCTCAGTGATGTCAATCTGTAACCAGTGGAAGACAGCTCCCTCTTACAATAGACACTCATACCTGTCTCACTGAAGCTCGACAGCATATGTGCCCGGGTAACAAGCAGGTTGCTACTATCTGGGATGGCGAACACACCCCACCCAGCTCTACACTGCCTTCTTCCCAAGTGCTCTGCAGGAGCACCCTGCCCACGTCTCAAGGAGACATTTCACATGCCCTCAGAGGCAAAGAGTGAGCAAGCCCTGCTTTATCCCTAGCACCAAAGCCAAAGCCAAGTAAAACAGAAACGCTCCCACAGGCGTCTCGCACTGACAGCATCCTTGTGGATGGCCCCATGAGGCACTCACATTCAGGCTGAAGGAGACCTTCTCACTGGGCTGCGCCTTGCTGCCTGGGCACTTGTGGAAGTAGAGGCTGTACAGGCCTTCCTGGTCATCCGTGCTGATGTTAAAGAAGAACTGAAAGGGAAGAAGACAGAGGTGCTCACAGCCTCAGCCACAGCTCCCCCCCTCAGAACAAGCTAGGGGCCCGAGCACACAGGCTACCTGGCCTCAGAACCAGCAGAGCAGAGGTGAGAGGGGGTGTCCTCATCTTGTGAGCCTCTAGTACCTTATGCCAGTGCTCGAGCTCAGAGATGGCTGGAGGAGCCATGTGGTGATCACCTATACGCAGCGGCCTGGGCTCTCTAACTCACTTCTGCCACAGACACCTGCCTGGGATGGTTCCGCTGAGGTCAGCAGAGGTAGCCAAAGACACAGCATCTCATTTTCAAGTCAACAAACCACATTACTTTCTGAAACATAACAGTGGGCCACTACTTGTCACAACTGATCAAAAGTCCTATACACACAGGACCAACGTGTGCCCCTGTGGGCTCTGCCAACTTAAGAAAGGCACAGCTCTTATGGGGAAAGCTGCACCATGTGCCACTGCCAGGAGACACCCACATGCACCTCACAGCTGGGCTGCCGGGCAGGGCACTCAAGGGCTTTGGGCCTCACTGGCCTTCCCTCTAAACTCCATCACCTTCAGTCTTAGCACAGCTCATTCCAGGTGCACAGCTATTAGCTTCTGTCACACCTGGAGGAGAGGCAGCATGACTGGGGGGTGGGAGAGGCAGAGGGGTCACAAGAGGACCTAAGCAGAGTAGAGGAGGAACTTGGGCCTGTCACTCACACTGCCCTGTCACAAGGCTTCTCACTGTCAGAGACAGTGGTTAACAGATGGAGCTAGCGGCCTAGTGGTGGGAGGGGGTGGTCCTGCAGCCAAGGTGTCTGCGAGCAAGGTGCCAGTAAAGACTCACCCTCTCACATGGCAGGGATGGAGTAAACTTTACTCCAGGTGACTCATACCTGAAATGAAACTGCACCATCGTTCTTATGAATTGAGAAGGATTTCTCTGCTGTTGCCTAAAAGACACAAGAATCTGTTTCAGGTCAAAAGTGGCAGAAAACAAGCTTAGGAAAATCAAAGCTAATTGGAGGGGCTGAAGACACAGCTCAATGGCTAAGAACACTGACTATTTTTGCAGAGGTGCTGGGTTCAATACCCAGAACACAGAATCTCACAACTGTTTTGTAATTCCAATTCCAGGGGGTATGGTCTCTATGGGTACTGCATGCATGTGATACACATACATACATGCAGGCAAAATACCCAAACACTAAAAATAAAATATTAAAGCTAAAATGGGTGGTGGTGGGTGCACATCCCTTTAATCTCTCTTGGGAGGGGTGAATCTCTGATGTCAAGGTCATCCTGGTCTACAGAACAAGTTCCAGGAAGGCCAAGGCTACACAGAGAAGCCCTATCTCAAAAAACAAACAAACAAAGCTAGTGGGAGGGAGTGGTCCTTCAGCCACTGGAAAGATGGTTTCGTTGTTAAGAACACTTGCTGCTCTTACAGAGAATCCAGGTTTAGTTCCCAGTCCCACATGGCAACTTACAAACTGTAACTACAGTTCCAAATGATCTACTGTCCTCTTATGGTCAACACAGGCATAAGCACACATACACATACATGCAGGGAAACACTCATTGTGCTAGTTAGTTTTACACAAACGTGATATAAGCCAGAGGTCATCTAGAAGGAGGGAGACTCAATTGAGAAAATGTCCCCTCAAAATCTGGCTGTTGGGTATTTTCTTAATTAGTGATTGATAAGAGAGGGTCCAGACCATTGTGTGTGGTGCCACCCCTGGGCAGATAGTGCTGCGTTCTATAAGAAAGCAGGCTGAGCAAGCCATGGGGAACAAGCCAGTAAGCAGCATCCTCCATGGTCTCAGCATCAGCTCCTGCCTCCAGTTCCAGCCCGGCACCAGTTCTTGTCCTGACTTCCTTCAGTGATGGCCTATGGTGTAGAACTGTGAGCCACATAAGCCCTCTCCTCCCCAGCTTGCTTTTGTCATGGTGTTTCGTCATGGCAAAAATATCCCTAACTAGGACATTCATACACATAAAGTGAAATAAATTAAAGCTAACTTTAAAGAAAAAAAGCTCTTCTTTAACACCAACTTGACTGAAGTCCTTCGAGAGCTCTCTGACAAAGCCTTTCACTGTCCTTCCAGATAGGTCTGAGATCATATCTCAGAGAAGGCAGCTCCCTTTCCCATTTCCTTCCTTCCTGGCTACTCTGTAACCGCCTCCCCAGTCTTCCTGTGAGTGTCTCTCTACCCTACAGCTTCTTCAAGACCAAGGATGCTGCCCTGGGCAGAGACAAACATCCCACTTAAGACTCTGCTCCTAACTTGAAATACCAGAACATTGTCTTCTATACAAGTCAAGAGATTAATAGCAAGTCATGGAAAGAAACCAGCTCCATAAACATAGGAGCAGGATGAACTCTGACGGCTATGCTGCACAAAGGCAACAGAAAAATACGTCCTGCGTGGCTCATTTCTTTCTTTCTTTTTTTTTTTTTTTTTTTTTTTTTTTTTTTGGTTTTTCGAGACAGGGTTTCTCTGTGGCTTTGGAGGCTGTCCTGGAACTCGCTTGGTAGTCCAGGCTGGTCTCGAACTCACAGAGATCCGCCTGCCTCTGCCTCTCAAGTGCTGGGATTAAAGGCGTGCGCCACCAACGCCCGGCCTGCGTGGCTCATTTCTATACGGCTCCCTAAAGCTGCTGTCTCCTGCAGTGACTGTTCCCTAAGCGCAGGGTGAAAGGGGGCAGGAGAAACCATTGAAGTAATGAACACATCCACAATCTTGACTGACAGATCAAATGCATCTAACCGCTCCTGTAAATTGTCACCCAATCCAGCTTTGCAAAAAAATGGCTAGAAGGAAGCAAGCAAGCAAACCTAGGCCTGGTATGTGCACCCTTAATCCTAGCTTGGGAAGCAGAGGCAGGAGGACCAGGAGTTCAAGGCCAACCCTGGCTATGTAATAAGATGAAGCCAGCCTGCGCTACAGGAGACCCTGTCTACAAACAAACAAACACAATCCCCACCCTGAGGAATTAGGACACTCCAAAACAAATCCTTCTCTGCTCACTTCTGGGCAGCCACACCTCTCTCTCCTCTTCCCTACCACTCCATCTCCCCTGAAACAGAACCTTGTTTTACATCCCAAAGGTCTAGGCTAACTCATCCCATGCCCGTTTTATCACAGCAGGTCCTTGCTGAGCCTGGGCATCACCCTGTTGACCATGCACAGTGTTTTCAGAATCATGAGCTCTAATAACTAACCTAATCACAGGCTCGTGACAACCTCCCATGGCTTGCATGTCAGTACCCTGTTCCACCTGTGCACTCCAGGCCTGTCTTAGGGGGCACCCCCACCGCCTGGGCTTCCCCTGTGCTGTGCAATCCGCACTCCATGTAAGTTCAAAAGGGTTTCAGTGTGTTGATTCTGTCTCTCCAAATGTAAGTCACATGTCATGCACACATAGATGCACACACAGACATACATGCAAGCACACATACACATTTAGAGAAGCTGAGCAGGAAGGAGGTCGATGCTTACCTTTGAATCCCCTGCACTTCTTCTAGCCTTCGAACCATCTAGAAGCACAAACATTAAAAAGCTATCACTGACTAATTCACCTCACACATCATACATCACAGTATCACTTTACGGGGCTCCAGCTAATCTAATATCCCATCACCAAAACAAATCTCAGTGCCTCCACCTCTTCAGGTCCCCAAACAGAATCACTGGGCAGGAGAAGTAGCAAATCAAAGTGGCACACTCAAGCATTATTGTGTCAATCATTACAGGACCGAGGGAAAGGCTCTGTATAAATAATGTGGACTGCAGAGATGCCACATAAAATAGCTCTCCATGCTTTCTAAGCCAGCATGTTCGGAGGCAGTTTAACAAGCATCTAATTGGTGCAGCTGACTTGGAGAAAATCTTAGTGTGGTAGACTATGTGGTGCTGAGGGTGCTGGGAATGACACTCAGCCTGTGTATGGGAAGCAGACTCTTCCCTGAGCTGTACCACCAGTCTGGATCTGCAGGTGTCTTGCTGGATTCTCTTTTTCTTTCTTTTTTTTAAAAGATTTATTTATTTATTTATTATGTATACAGTGTTCTGCCTGCATGTATCCCTGCAGGCCAGAAGAGGGCACCAGATCTCATTACAAATGGTTGTGAGCCACCATGTGGGTGCTGGGAATTGAACTCAGGACCTCTGGAAGAGCAGCCAGTGCTCTTAACCGCTGAGCCATCTCCCCAGCCCTTGGCTTCTCTTTTTCATTGCTGTTGGTTTTTGGGGGTTCCCCCAACAGCAATGTGTGAAGATTACTAGTGGAGAAAAATGACAAATTATATCTTAATAAAAAAAAGTTAAATTAAAAAAAAAGAAGCTGACTGTAGATGGCTGGGGATATAGCTCAGCTAGCAAAGTGCTTGCCTGGCGTGCATGAGGCCTGGATGCTTAGCACACTACGAAACTGAGTGTGGTAGTGCACACCTGTAATCATAGCACTCTGGGGACTATGGAAGATGAAGAATAAGTTCAAGGTCATCCTCAGCTACACGGAGAAGTCAAGGTTGGACTGTGCCATGAGATTATGTCTCAAAAACCAAAACAAACAAACAAAACATTGCTAGCAGCGTTTTTCATGGAACAGAGCGGGCACTTGCATCACTGTCCTTAGGACATCCCTCCTGGGGAAGGAAGTTGTGGTAGTTTGGATGTAATTGGCCCCCATAATTTCACAGGAGTGGCACTAATAGGAGGTGTGGCTTTGTTGGAGGAAATGTGTCACTGTGGGGGTGGGCTTTGAAGTTTCCTATGCTCAGACGACCACCTAGGACTTCTATCAGTCAACTTCCTGTTGCCTGCAAGCCAAGACATAGCCAACACAATGTCTGCCTACACACCACCATGTACTCCACAGCGATGATAATGGACTAAACCTCTGAAACTGTAAGCAATCTGTCCCAATTAAATGTTTTCATTGTAAAGTTGGCGTGGTCATGGCATCTCTTCACAGCAATAGAAACCCTAACTAAGACAGCAGTGCTGCCCTACTGCGGGAAGGCCGTGTGTCATGAGCACAACAGATTTGGACAAGCAGAGCAGAGCACAGGCATGGAACTGCACATCACACTCCAGTTCTTTCCTAAGATTCCTAATTTGCATCAATTTTTGGCAAATCTGGGGGAAAATGAACAATGTAAGTGGTAAATGACCTTGAAAGGATGCGTATGAACCATTAGATGGGACCAACAGTTAATACAACATATCAGTATCCAGAAGAAGGCGCTGCCGCAGGAACAACAGGAGCCAAGGCCTGGTCACACAAACCCTCTCCCCAAAACACCAGAAAAGGAAAAAGAAAACCAAACATGGCCCCTCTGCATTTCCCTCTAAACTGGGTCTCCCTTTGCTGCACAGGTTTGCTTTGACGGGGCACAAGTGCTCTTTCTGCCTCAGCCTCCCAAGTATTGGAACTGTAGACACCTCTGTGAGTCCAGCACTTTAGAGAAGCAAACAAACAAAACAAAAACACTACCCAGGTATGACAGTGTTAGCAGCCAGCACTTCTGCGCTGTGAGGGATGCCGACCATCCACCTGACCTGGAATGGAGTGTCAGTATTCTCAAAGGCTATTGTAACCTTTAAGCCAGACAGTCCAGCTCCACTAACCCATCCTAAAGACAGCACTACACACACAATAATTTTCCTTTTTAAAAAGACGTACCTTAAATGTGTGGTGGTGGCGCATGCCTTTAATCCCAGGACTCAGGAGGCAAAGGCAGGTGGACCTCTATGAGTTCAAGGCCAGCCTGGTCTACACAGTGAGTTCCAGGGCTGCCAGAGCTACACAGAGAAATTCTATCTCGGAAAAAAAAAATCTTTGTGTGTGTATGTCTGTCTGTCTGTCTGTGAGTATGTGCCACATGTATGGGTGCCTATGGAGCCCAGAAGGGCTTTGGATCCTTTAGACCTGTGATTATAGGTGTTACGAACCTCCTGATGTGTGTGCTGGGAGGTGAACTCAGGTCATCTGGAGGGGAAACAGCTTTCTTAACTGCTGAGCCATCTCTCTAGCCTCCTTTCTAGGAATGAAGAAGTTCAGTGTCCCAATACCTGGAGACAACAATGGGTCACTTTGAGGAAAATGTTGAGCAAGTGACAGCATCATTTTCTTGGACAGGGGATGAAATGAAGTGAAATCAATAGGCGTGTACAGGCTGTACATGACTAGGACCTGTGGTGCACCATGTTCTCAACTGAGGAAGTAGGCCTAATCAGGGACAACTACCAAAGTGCTAAGTGGGGATGGAAGAGAGGCCTCATTTCTCTCTTCCTTCCACATCCTTCTTTGGCTACAGTTAGTTCTGTGTGGCCTCCGGAGCTTTAGGCTGCAGTTCTTGAAAACACAATAAAGCAGACTTACCTTGGGCTCTCTGCACCGCGCTCTCTGTGGGTATGGAGCTGACCGCAGGCTCCTGGTTCTGATCCAGGACTTTCTCGTCCTTGCTGAAAACAATCTTTGGTAACTGGGTGCCGGCTTCTGGTGGAGATCTGACCTTGACTCTATACCCACAGAAGACAGAAAGGAGAGTTCAGAGCAGTGCTCCAATCTTCACTGAATGCTGCTGCGGGTCCAGCTCAAGCTCTATAAGTTTTTGTGTGTGTTTGTTTTCCAGACAGGGTTTCCCTGTGTAGCCCTGGCTGTCCCAGAACTCACTGTGGACCAGGCTGACCTTGAACTCTCAGAGATCCGCCTGCCTCTGCCTCCTGAGCACTGGGATTAAAGGCATGTGCTACCTCGCCCAGCTCCAGCTCCAGCTCTGAATCTGGTACCTTGTGTTGTCCCTGTCACAGTGGAGACGCAGATTCTGCCATCTGCACTCTATGCTGCAGAAAGAGTAAAGCACTGGCCAAGGGCTGGGGAGGCCATGAGAGGACAGTGCACTAGCCCAGCCCAAACCTGGACCCCAGCCCTGACAGCCCAAGCTAGGAAGTAACTGGGCAAGGAGCCTGAAGTGTCACTCTAAAGCCAGGGTTTAACAATATATTAACGCATGACTATGCTGTTCACATACTAGGAATTCTGCATAATAACCCTGACTGTCCTGGAACTCTATAGACCAGGCTGGCCTTGAACTCACAGAGATCTGCCTGCCTCTGCCCCCCCCAGTGCTTGGATTAAACGCATGCACCACCACTGCCAGGCCCTAAGGAATTCTTAATGTGTTCAGAAAACCGGTGAAAAGGGAAACAGGAGAAGACATAAGGCTCTATGGTACAGTCAAGAGAAGTGAAGGGATGTGTGAGGAGCTGGGGACACTATTAATTACGGCTTAAAAGCCATTTCCTCCCTTCCCCTTCCTTTTTTTTAATAGATTATGTGTTTGAGTGTGTATGTGGGTTTATGTGCACTGTGTGCATGCAGGAGCCTGCAGAAGCCAGAAGAGGGCTGCCAATCCCCTAGAGCTGGAATTGGAGGTGGTTGTGAGCCACCATTGTAATGCTGAGAACCACACCCAGGACACTGCCTACAGAGTGAACATCAAGAATGGGTGAGCAGAGATTAAAGGCACAAATACCTAGTGTGAGCACGCTGCCCTTAGCCTGCCTGCCACCTCGGGACTTCAGGCAGGTGGGCCAATCTGCTCACATTCCTCTGCCAGGCTCAGTGAGGCCGTTCCCTGCCGGTTGCCAAATACACTGCAACCGAGGAGACTGCAGCCTTCCTGACAGATGACAGTAGAGGTGACCAGGGTATCTGCTGTGAGGCCCAGAGCAGCTCTGTGGCAATGCGCTTTCCTTTTAAGAAACTTCCTCACTGGTCTTTTTACTTCTGACCTAGTTGCTCACTCTGGGCAGCTATCCGCTAAGTCTGAAAACAATCTGCACACAAGATTCTTAGCTTGAAACCCTTCGAAGGTTCCCTCGCAAATTACACACAGGGCCAGAGAGCTGGCTCACTGGAAAAGCACTAGTGGTAAGTCTGAACCCGAGTTTAGCCCTGAACCTACCCATCAGGAAGAAGAGAACCAACTCCCACAAACATGCATGGCGGGATGTGCACATGCACCCACACAACACATAAACGTAAAAAAGGAGAAGAGAGAAGTTACATACATGGAGTGGCTGGGCCATGGAGGTGCTCGGCTGACAAGGGCCCAAATGTGATCCCCAGAAGTCATGTGTAAAAAAAGTGGGGCATGTGATGTGAGCTTGCAACCCCAGGGCTGGGAAGGTGGCCAGAGGATGCTGGAGTTCACTGGCTAGCTAGTTTAGGTAAATCAGATAGATCCAGACTCAGTGAGAGACTCTATATCCTTTTTCTTTCGTTTGGTTTATAGAGACAGGGTTTCTTCATATAGTTCTGGCTGTCCTGAAACTCACTCTATAGACCATGCTGGGCTTGAACTCACAGAGATCCACCAGCTTCTGGAATTAATGAATTAATTAAAGGTGTTTAACTCTTTAATCTCAGCACTCAGGGGGCAGAGGCAGGCAGATCTCTGTGAGTTCAAGGCCAGCCTGGTCTACAGAGCAAGTGCCAAGACAGCTAGAGCTGTTACACAGAGAAACCCTGTCTCAAAAAACCAGGGAGGGGGAATACAAAATCCCTTAATTCATCCTTCTCCTGTGCTCTGCCACTAAGCCTGACCTCAAGGACAATCTCACAAAAGATATGCCACTACTCTGAGGTAGGAGAGGACCCTGAGCTCTGGAGTTACACAGCCCCTGAGTGGCATAAGCTGCTGCCTGGATCCAGTCCATTTTCTTACCTGCTCCCTCTAAAGTGTTCCCCAACAGCAAACTTGGGAGCTAAGGCTGTGCTGATCACCCTTCCTGCTCTCATTCATCTGGAAAAGCTGACTCACCAGAAGGCTGCCTGCCTAACCCTGACCTGAAACTGTCCTTCCCTGCCGTGGTGTGTGTGCTGGGGCAGGGGGTTGGCTCTTTTCTCTACTTTGCGGCAGTCATTTGGTCTGTACCTCATCTGCCGTCCTCCCAGGTGGCCCCGTGCCTCTCAACACGTAACTCACGACAGCACTCAGCGCAGGACTGGCATGTGGCAGCTATCGGGCGAGGGCTGCTGCAGCAGTGCCTTCACTGCACTGAGGGTGAGCAGAGAGGACTTCAGAATTACTTACACGCTTTCAGAGATGTCTAAGATGAGAAGGGTAACAGAAGATATAGACTGTTTTCGTAAAATACAGTAATTCACATCTTCATCCTGCCAAAGGAAGAACAAGCATGTATCATCGCACTCACTGTGACAACAAGACAGACAGAAGGCTCAGGCTTCTCCCAACAGTGAAGCTGGAAGTTACAGTAGTTACCACCTCCAGCATAGGCACCCTGGGCTGAAGGGTATCCTGAGCTCCAGTGAGATACCAGTCAGACTGTGTCCTAAAACTGACCAGGCACCTGCAATCCTAGCATCTAGAAGGCAGAGGCAGGGGCATCAGGGATTCAATGCTAGCATCTAGAAGGCAGAGGCAGGGGCATCAGGGATTCAAGGCCAGCCTCAGTTATTCAGTGCATTCCAGGCTACTCTGGGATACAAACCACGATGGCTCCCGCCTGTACTCCTAACACTTGGGAGACTGAAGCAGGAGAACTGCTCCAAGTTTGAGGCCCTGAGCTATAGAATGAATCCCTGTCAATCCCTACTGTCCCCTCAAAAACAAAAGGGGGCGGGCTGGTAAGATGACTCAGCGGTTCAGAGCACTTACTGCTCTTGCAGAAGTGCTGGTTTGATTCCCAGCACCCACATGATCACAACTGTCTGTAACTCACTTCCAGGGGATCCAACTCTCCTGACCTCTGATGGCACCAGGCAAGTACGTGGTGCACAGACATGCGTGCAGGTAAAATACCACTCTAAATAATTTTTTTAAAAGCAACTTACCAGGTAAGAAGAAAAGCCATCGTTCTTGGTCCGATCTAGACTGAAGCCGATCTGAGGACAATGAAGAGAGATAAGACTAAGTCCCTCACACTGCCCATGCCTTTCTTTTACTTCAAAGAGCAGTAAAAACACTGACAGCATAGTTCCTTAGGTCTGGCTTCTCATCTTTCTTAAGTGCTCTCCTGAAAGATGGAAATAGCTGCTCAAGTAAAATCACTAATACATTTATTCAAGAATTGCAGAGCTAGAGAGACGGACGGCTCAGAGGTTAAGAGTGCTGGCTACTATGCTCTTCCAGAGGTGCTGAGTTCAACTCCCAGCAACAACATGGTGGCTCACAACCATTATAATAGATACAGTTCCCTCTTTGGTGTACAGGTACATGCAGACAAAGCACTCACATACATAAAATTATAAATAATGTCATAAAAAAAAGAATTGCCATTTAGGGCTGGGGTGTGGCTCAGTGGTAGAGCATTTGCCCACCCTGGGGAAGGCTCTGGGTTTCACCCCAGCATCTCACTGATCACAGGAAGTATAAGGTAAAGCAGATGTGCACTTTGTACTACCATGAAGAATCTTCTCCGGTTAGGCAAGGAGGGAAGAGGCTGAGAGAGTAACCCCCTTTCTATCGGAAGACACTTGCCTCAGACTTCGTTTTCACGTCTCCCTTCGGTTCATTCACAGAGAGGCTGCTGACGTTGACCACCATGTACCCGTCCTTGAAGAACCCAAAGGTGTTCAGATGAACTTTATGCCTCACGTCATCCTATAGAGATTGAGGCGGATCTTTGATTAGTCATTTGTTTAGTCATTGTTCATTTGCTTGAAAAGCTATGGTGTCCATTTTCGTGATGGCCAGAGTTCCCATAGGTGCAGAGATAGACAACAGCTGTGACAGGTAGCATTCAAAAGCTGAAAAGACTTTCAGAAACCCCACAGATGTCAAAACTTTGCAAAGGCAATGGTAGACTCATATCAGCACACTTGTATGGGCTCCAGAGGTAAACTGGTCATGTGAATTCCACAGCCAGATGAACCATGGTTTAATAGCCCTGCCCCACCCCGCATCCTTCCTGACAGAACAGTGTCTGGCATCTGGTAGGCACTCAAAATGTGGTAGAGGTACTCAGAGGCAGAGGCAGGAGGTTCTCTGTGAATTCAAGGCCAGCCTGGTCTACACAGAGCTCCTGCCCCAGCAAGGGTGCAGAGTGAGACCCTGCTTAAAAGAGTGGTGGCAGGGAGTGTAGGGCTAGGACCTGGCTCAGTTGAGAGCACCTGCTGCTCTCCCACAGGGCCTGAGTTCTGTTCCCAGCAACCACATTCAGGGGGTCATGACCACCTGTAACTCCAGGGGACCCTTCACTCTGGCCTCTGTGGACACCTGCATTCATGTGCACATACCCACATTCAGATACCTACACATAACTAAGAACAATTAAAATTTTTAAATTTAAGCCAGGTGTGGTGGCATTCTTGGGAGGCAGAAGCAGGCAGATCTCTATGAGCTCGAAGGCCAGTCTGGTCTACAGAGTGAGTTCCAGGACAGCTAGTGCTATTTCAGAGAAATCTTATCTTGAAAAACAAAAAAAATTTTTAATTTGTTAAAAAAAAAATTCAGCAGGGTGGTGCACACCTTTAATCCCAGCATGCAGGCGGATCTCTGTGAGTTTGAGACCAGCCTGGTCTACAAGAGTGAGTTCCAGGACAGCCTCCACAGAAAAACCCTGTCTTGAAAAGCCAAGAAAAAAAAAGTTCTGGAGGGGGTGGGAGTGGCGAAGTGCGTACAAATGCACCACTGACCTCAACTCCTCCCAGACTTTTCAAATTGTGAAGGACATGCACCTGGAACCAAATGACACGGAGAATGATGGCCTTCAGGACAGACGCTAACGCAGAAGCACGCTCAGGAATGAGTCAAGTGGAGACAAACTCTACTGGGAATGGGGAAATCATGAGCTCTGCTGAAATGGTAGCTCATAGGACACGCCCACCCCTGCCTGCCTCATGTCCCAATCTCAAGCAGGACCACACATTCTAGGACCGGACCAGGACGGAACATCAGCAAAACCCTCTATCACCAAGTGCCTGCAGCTCTTCACAGCATGAACATTACTGGGAATTATAGGGACTGTCTGTGACAGCGGGCTCTTCACCCTCAGAGTGAGAATTACCCAGACATCAGAGGCTATTGAGGGACCCTCCCCTATAGCTGAAGTTCCCAGATTCTCAGGCTGTCGGTGGGACCCTCAGGGATCAATATAAGCCACATTCACATGGCCCAAAAACAGTGCACTGGGAGGCTGCCACCAGGATGTGACGGTGGAACACAGGCCCTCAGCAACAGCAATGGTCTGTCTAATCCAAGCTCTCTCCAGACTCCTGCAATAGCTCAGAATGGCACTGGCTCCCTCCCCCAACCCCCTTCTATTATCTGCTCCTTTCAACTCCCTCTTCCCTTTTTTGGTCCTCTGGGAATTTCCCTTAGTGCCAGAGTTCAGCTAGGCATTTAAAGCATGTTTGCTGACTCTCACTTCCCAGTGAGACAGAGGAGCTTGAGGCAAACCCACACTCCCACAAAGAAGTAAAGTTCTGCAGGACTGTGAGGCCTGCTAAGGAAAACACAGGAAGAGTGAAGGCTCCTGGCCCTTCTGGGTGGAATTAAGTCCATCAGAAAGCCACCCAAGTGACCTTCCCTGTTCTTAAGGACACGCATGCCCACTACCATTGCAGGCGCACCAGAGAGTCAAATTTGACAATATCCAGCAGTGAGGACATCCAGTTCTCTGAGAGCCCCCAGATGAGCTGGCAGGGTGGCAGGGAGATCCCAGAACCTCCTCACACCATCGCAGGAGAAGCAAGCCCACTCACAGAACACACGGGACAAGGATTCGGAGGGGGACTTCCAGGGGGCGACTGTTCCCCCAGAGAAAGGGACTTACTTTCCAGGCAAAGCTTGAGGGAAGGCAAAGCTTCAAAAAAATTCTTAAAGCACTAGTTAATCATTTCCTGCTGGTTACACTGTGTTTGCACTGCGGAAATAAGTATGTTGTACATTTACATAACTTTCAGTATGTAGGGAAATGCTACATTTTTCTTATATTTTGTTTATTTACTTGTGTACGCATGCACATGTCACAGTACAAAGAGAACAACCTCTCCTTCCAATGCATGACACCCAGACTGAACTCAGGTCATCAAGCTCTGTGGCAAATGGCTTCACCTGCTGAGATATTCTACTTGCTCCAAATTAAGAACTTAAGGGTATGTCTCTTTAGCTATCCTGTAGGAAGCTTACAGCAGGCACAGTGGCACACACCTTTAATCTCCAGCACTTGGGAGGCAGAAGCAGGAGGATCAGGAGTTCAAGGGAACGAGAGGCTGGGTGGGAGCTCAGCATTCCCACCTTTCCTCCCTGATACTATCTCAGAAGGGTAGCAGAGCCCCAAGAGCTCAATGGGAGGCAGGAACAGAGAGGGTCCGCAGGAGTGTCCCAGCTGACCCTGATAGATACAGCAAAAGAGAAGAGCCTGCAGCAACCAGTGGCCCTCCTTTGCCCGGGACACAGCAGGGCTCTGAAGAGCTCTCTGTGGACACCATGGTGCCTAGCTACAAGGCAGGTGCTATTCTGCTCAGGCTACTGATGATAAAGCAGGCCCAGACACGTAAAGCTTGCTTAGATTGCAGCAGGAGCAGAACCGGCATCCCAGCCCAGGTGTTCGGGAGCTGCATGCCTGGGCTCTTACTCATTGCATGCCTTTCACAAGCAAAGAAACAGAGAATCTTATTTTGCTTTGAACTTACACAGGTGTTGAAAGTGCCAGGTTTGTCCCAGCATATACACACATAGCCCAGTCAATTAGAGGAAGAAAATCCCAGACAACCCACAACTTCACCTACAGGTATCTGAGTGTGTGTCTCCAATGTGGGCAATAAGAAAACACAGCAGCGTGGTACTCTTAGTCACTGGAAGCTGAATAACAGATTAATTCAACAAGATCATTCAGTTGTAAAAAGCTGAGGTCACCAGGACATAAAACACTATCCTGGACTGATGCAGGTCAGAGGGATAGTGCTGTCTGGAGTGTGTGAGTGAGACGCTAGGCTGGACACTCAGCACTTCCTGAAAGTAAATTCCCAGATCCCCAAACAAGGTCAGTGTTAAGAGTGTGGGGGTCTTGCCTGGCTCTCCTCACAGGCACTCTGCCAACAACCCAAACAAACAATGGGCAAGCCCTAGTTTGAGGTGAAACACTACTGATTAATGTACCTTTGTTTGTTTCCTTGAAACAGGGTCTCCCTGAGAGGTCCAGATGGACCCTGACTGGAAATCCTTTCTTCACCCTCATGAAGCCACTGTTGGAACTGCCAGTGTTGGCCAACACACCAAGCCTAAATACAACCATCAGAGAAATGCAGCCCCTGATTATTCTGGATTATGTGAAGTTATGCTGAAATGCTTGCTCTAATTTTCAATAATCTATTTTGTTAACCTGAAACTTTATTTTAAAAGCTAGGTGTAGTGGAGGGTGCCTTTAATCCCAGCACTGGCGAGGCAAAGACAGATGAATCTCTGAGTTTGAGGCCAGCATAGAGAACTTGCTACAAATAAGCAAACAAATAAGTAAACAAGGGCCTACGGCTTGGTAAGAGCACTCGCTGCCTGCCTGCTAAGCCTGACAAGCCCCATGTGAAAGGAGAGAACCGATCCCCACAAGTGGCCATCCAAAGCCTACATGCTTATGATGCACACTTGCCCCTCGCCCCCACTGATCGAACAAACAATAAGGCCAGATGTGGATGTGGTCATGTACATCTGTAACCCCAGCACTACAAAGGCCAAAGCAAAAGGACCATGCGCTGAAGGCCAGCCTAGGCTACACAGACCTTCTCAACTGTTTGTTTTGCATTTTTAACTTTTTAATTCCAGCACTGGGGGGAGGGTGTAAAGGCAGACAGATCTCTGAGTTCAAGGCCACCCTAGTCTACTTTGTGAATTCCATGTTAAAGGTACTTTGTAAGATCTTGTCTCAAAAAAAATTTTTAATGTATTTTATGTAGATTGTATTAGAGAAAGAGACAGACAGACATGGATTTCTACTAAAATAAGTTGTTCTAAAACTTCAGGTTTACAGAAAAATAAAACAACCCTGAAAGTAAAAGACAACAGAAAACATGCTGACATCCTGAACCTCACCAGTAGTTGATTTAAATGAGATGTCACCTTTTCACCAGCAGGCTGACAGCCCTTTGAGCATGTGCTGTACTGGGAAGTACGCAGGCCACAGAACATTCAGTCCACTGCAGGCTGCCTCAGTTAAAGGAGTAACTCGTCCCACAAGCCACAGTGGCAGATGCCTACATTCCAGTTGCTTCAGATCATGGGGGGGGAGCATCAGTGACAGAATAAGTCCTTTGTGTCTCTCTGAAACTCTGCTCTCATTCTACCATCCCTTTCCTTATCATGAGATGGCTAGATCCTCTTTTAGTTTTTAACTTACAACACCAAGCAAGGAATAGTATAGCTCCCTCCTGTATTCCATTACTCTAAAAACTTGAGGACTACCATGACACACACCTAAAACCACAGTTCCGGGGAGGTGGAGGCAAGAGGGTCACAGTTAAGGTCATCTCAGCTGTTTAACAAGTCTGAGGCCAGCCTGAGATGCCAGAACAAAACCAGAACGAAAACCCCAGTCACTGTCAAGGCTTGGTGATACTTGCCAGTAACTGCAGCTACTTGTCAGGGTGTGTCAGCGGATGGCAAGT